TAAGTACACCATTCTGCACGTTGACAATGTTCTCAGTGTTGACGAAGCATCAACTCTCACAGATACTCAAACAGCAAAGGCGACCTACACATCCAGTGGATTTAAGGTAACTCGATCGCCTGAGGTCACTATGCCCACGACTGTTAGGCCTGCATTCCGAACTACCCTGATAGATGAAGTGCTCACTTTTGAACCTCCAACTGGCCCTCCTGTATTTTCTACGTTGATGCGCATAACCAGCACCACTCCTGTTACATCAATATCCAAACTTAATGACGGAGAAGTCAAACACAAAGCAAGCAAACTTAGAAGGAAGTTCGGCCCAATGCGTGGACAAAAAACGAGAGGAGAGCTGAAGAGGAGGTTCAACTTGAAGAAAAATGGCTTGCGTATAAGTAATCGAAAAGTGATCTCTCGCGATGTGAGACCCATCGGGAAGAAATTTCCGTTTCAGAATAGCCGGAGATTTTCTAGAGTTCGAGGAACAGCATAAAGGTTAGAAGTTGAAGTCTAAATGCAGTTTTTTTCTATGTTTCAATAACTCCATCGTATTCCAAGATTTCTGTCAACAATAACCAAAAAGTTCAATTTCTACAAATTCTCTAGTACTTCTAATGGCAAAATTTATAGTGAAGTTGAATAAGTAGAATATTCGTAAGAAGATCATGCGTTGTTAATCAATGTTTCTGCAGTTATTAAGTTAAAATCAGAAAAAAACAGAGAATAGTCTGACAGATCATTCTTTCATTAGTAGACATGCCGTTTTGCGTTCTTTTCTACAAGAGGGTATACATGGATTGTCCAGCTCTTGGTTGTGTTAAATTAGAAGTAATTAAAATTGAAAATTCAAAGGACCCATAAAAGTATAACCGAAAGTCGGTTTTCTTCGGACAAGAAACATGAAAACTGCTATAGTAGTACCTTGTGAGGTAATCACGCTGAAAAATTACGAATCCTGCCCATTTCCTATAATAGACTTTATCGTAGGGTTACTTACTTACTTAGATACTTAGATGGCTTGTCTTCACTCGTCATACAGGCCCCAGCAGCGTCATCCACGATATTGGTATTCAACTGCAGCGGCGACGTTCGCAAGGTCGAGATCCACTACTCGGTGCCAGCTGAGAATTCAGCTGGTTCATCCGTGCAACGAATACGCCAGCCCATCTGGTCAGTGGCTTTCCTCGAGGACGTTGTGCTTCGCGAGGGGTCTATTCCAGAGTTCTCAGTGTCCTCTGTTGTCTGTCCTTCTTATCATATGACCAGCCCGTCGATGTTCGTGTTCCGCTGGATCGCGAAGACGAGACATTGATCTCATATCCGAACTGCGAAATCCGACTACATGTTGAATGCGTCGCTTGTACTTCAAAAGACGTCGTTCCAGCGCTCTGTGGGTTGTTCGGAGAGCCTTTGACGTAGCCAGTGTCAGGCCACATCTCTGCTGTGTAACACAGCGCGCGGAAAACAGTTGAATCGAAAAGGTGGGCTCGGAGCTTTGGGTTTGTCAAGCTCCATGGCTTCCTTTAGGAGCTCGAAAGGGGACCAAGCAGCGCCTCCTGTTTCTTCTTTCAGATCGTTTTCCATATTTATCGAACGCTAATAAGATGTCCGACTGGAGAGCCTTCTAATTTCACTTCCTGATCCTCGAAAAAAGCATTTTTCATGAACTGAGTCTTCTTCCGGTTGATTCGCAGTCCTATTCGCCTCCCTATTTCGTTTATGTCTTTCAACATCGACTACACTCAGCGATATTCCTCGAGAAGAGAACCATGTCGTCCGCAAAACGAAGGTGGAGAAGAATCTCCCACTGCAAGGCGGCGGTAAACAGCTTTGGCGACAGAGTGTCGCTCTGTCAACCCTCTTTGAAATGGCATGTTAAGGGGGTATGGAAAAGCTGTCTCGTTGTAAAACAGTTCTTGTACCAATCGGCCAATGTCCACGAAATGGGTCCACTTCCTGGTCGACCAGCGCTGACAATATGGTATTAGTCTCGACGCTGTCAAATGCTTTCTCATAGTCAATGAAGGTTAGGACGAGAAGTAGGTGGTACTCTCGGCAAACCTCGATAATCCGTGAAACTGTCTGGATGTGGTCTACGCAGCTGAGTTCCTTGCGAAATCTAGCTTGTTGATAGGTTGGGCTTTATCCAGTGTCCTTGATATGCGAGCGAGAATAATCTTCGTAAGGAGCTTGTAAAGCACGCTCAGCA